CTCTTTCTGGACAGTCCCTAGGGTGATCGTCAAGAAGACAACTGGAAAGCTTCGCCTATGCGCAGATAATTCTATTGGATGGAATGCTGAGTTAGAGGACCAAAAGTATCACCTACCCCAGCCTGCTGATCATTTTGCATGTTTCAATGGTGGCAACTGGTTCGCCAAACTGGATTTTTCTGATGCGTATCCTCAGGTCGAAATGCCAAAAGAAGCCCAGAAGAACCTAACGATAAACATCCATTGAGGACAATTCCATTGTACTCGCCTGCCCTTTGATGTTATGTTACATCGGACAACTTTCAGCAGAGTATGGATAGGAGGTTATCAGGGTCATTATGTGCCGCAGTATATCATGTGATCTAAACCACAGAAAGTGCATCAGCGAACGGAACATGAGCTTGAGAGTGTAGTGCAACTGAAAACATGCTCTTTCAGTATCTTATAACATTGGATTTTATGGTTGTTTTAACCTTCGAAACGTCCATTTGTTTAACTGACTGCACATCCATGGTCACAAACCGTTTTGGTGAGTTCCACGCTGCACGTTCCTCGCTCTCTCTGATTCGCTTCCTATTTTTGTAGCCTGTACAATATACGTTGGGTTCAGTTGCCTCCGACTTCTATACTGTCGTATTTGACACGTCTTACGTGTCATTGCTTACCGACTAGTATCCCAGGTTCCGCCCAACAATTGGTGACCCCCTGTCAGGAACACGCTGCCCGCCATTTTGCATTTTCATTCTGGTGAGCTCGTTCCAGTGATCTTGTGATTCATTACTTGTGATCATATTGTTTTCTCACCTACCATATTTTTTATCTGCCTTTTGCAATGAATTATCTAGAGGATAAGCCGTCTCCATGCTCGGTTAACGCTGTTCAGCCTGTCATGGTCAATTCTGTTGCCTTAGCCCCTCCCCCTTTTTGGGAGAATGACCCTTTATTATGGTTTTTACATTTAGAATCCGTATTTTATATTCGTAAGATTTCTTCTGATTTCGCCATGTATAACCAGCTAATATCTTGCCTTCCTTATAGTATATCCTCGCAGGTGAGAGACATCATACTTTGCCCCCCTCTAGTAATGAAATACGAGACACTTAAACAGGCTATTATTCAGCGAATCACGCCTTCTGACAAGGTCCGTCTGCAGCAACTATTTAGTGATCTGCAGCTAGGAGATAGGATGCCCTCAGCCTTGTTGCGCGAAATGCAACAGCTCATCGGCACGTCCAACATGGACGTAGGGATTCTCCGCGAGCTGTGGATGCAACGCCTTCCTGAAAGCACACAGGCTATCCTTGCAGTAGCAAGTGACTTGCCAATCACGGCAATTGCAGATCTAGCAGACCGCGTCATCGAACGGCACCAGCCAGAGACTGAAACCAAAGCACTTAAGCAGCTTTGCGCTGGCGCAACCACAACGACAGGCGCGACTAGCCCTCCGTCGGCAATAGACGCATTATCATTGCAGATAGCGTCGCTTCAGCGCCAGATCAAAGAACTCACCTTAAAACGTAAGCACCGCAACCGCTCTGGATCATCGCCTCGTCGCACAAAACCTGATGCCTCAGGTTACTGCTTTTACCACTCGCGTTTCGGTACTAAAGCATGTAAGTGCGTACAGCCATGTAGCTACTCCGCTATAGATGATTCGCCACGCCGGGCTGTAATGGCTACGAACGTCGGCAAAGCCCAAAGTCGTCTCATCTACATTAGGGATTATGACTCCGATACCCAGTTCTTAGTTGATACCGGGGCGGAAGTCAGCGTCATTCCCCCTATGCCAGGTGAGCCTACCGCTTCTCTGTCGACAAGCCTCAGTGCCGCCAATGGCACACCAATAGCCACCTATGGTCATCGGTCACTTACCCTGGACCTAGGTCTTCGGCGCACGTTCCGCTGGGTATTCACCGTCGCTGCAGTCCCCTTTGCCATCATCGGCATTGACTTTCTCAGGCATTTCGACCTCTTGGTCGATGCGAAACGCCAGATGATAGTCGACACTGCAACAAAACTCAGCGTACGTGGCATCACCGCCGATGTGACATCTATATCCCCGGTCTATGCATTTCCCCAGACCTCGTCAGCCTACGCTAATCTCCTTTCTCAGTATCCCAAGCTCGTTCAGCCAATGAACGCAGCTTTGCCCGTGGCAGCTCAAGTCACGCACCACATACGGACGAATGGCCCACCTGTGTCATGCCGTCCACGCCGACTATCGCCTGAGAAACTAAAGGTAGCTAGGGCGGAGTTTGAGCACATGCTTGAACTTGGAATAATCCGCCCTTCCGACAGCCCTTGGTCCTCGCCCCTGCAGATGGTCCCCAAGAAATCTGGTGACTGGCGCCCTTGCGGTGATTACCGCGCACTCAATCGCCTAACCGTCCCAGATAGGTATCCCATCCCACACATGCAGGACCTTACCGCATGCCTCACAGGTAAGACGATCTTCAGCAAGATCGATCTGGTTCGCGCCTATCACCAGATACCTGTGGAAGACAATGACATTCCTAAAACAGCCGTAATCACTCCTTTCGGTTTGTTTGAATTTTTAAGGATGCCATTTGGACTGTGCAACGCCGCACAAACCTTCCAGCGCTTCATCCACGATGTTACTCGTGGCCTAGACTTCGCATATTCCTACCTCGATGATATCTTAGTAGCCAGTTCATCGGAACAAGAGCACCTCGAGCATCTTCGAGCTCTCTTCCAGCGCTTGACCCAACACGGTGTCACAGTCAACCCGACTAAGTGCGAACTCGGCAAATCAACGGTAGAATTCCTAGGCCACCTCGTTTCATCGTCTGGTATCGAAGTCCTTCCTGATAAGATCCAGGCAATCAAGGACTTCCCAGCTCCGACTTCCTTCAAGCACCTCCGTCGATTTTGTGGTTTGGTCAACTACTATCGACGCTTCATTCCGCGCTGCGCTCAGCTCATGCAGCCACTGACTGACCTACTCAGAGGAAATGAACGTAAGTTCGCTTTCCCTGACACAGCACAGGCAGCCTTCGCCGAGCTCAAGGATGCTATCTCCAACATAGCCCTCCTCGCTCATTCCGAATCGACTGCACCTCTTTCTATTACGACTGATGCCTCAGACGTAGCAGTAGGAGCCGTCCTCCAACAACACGTTGGTGGGCGCTGGCAACCCCTTGGGTTCTTCTCCAAGCGCCTGCAGCCAGCGGAATCCCGCTACAGCACGTTTGGCAGAGAACTGCTGGCCATTTACCTAGCAATACGTCACTTCCGGCACACACTTGAAGGCCGCGCTTTCACGGTCTACACTGACCACAAGCCCCTTATCTTTGCCTTCAACTCTGCTAGCGACAAATACTCACCACGGGAAACAAGACACCTAGACTTTGTCACGCAGTTCACTGCTGACATACGTCATGTCTCAGGTGTCGACAATCCCGTCGCCGACGCTCTCTCACGCGTCAACCTCACTCTGCAGTCTTTGCCTACCGTCGATCTCGCCGCCATGGCATCGGCTCAGGCTCAAGACGAGGATATACAACGCACTCTGCAGTCCACTTCGCTGCATGTGCAACCTGTTCCTCTCCAAACCACGGAAGGAACCATCCTCTGTGACACGTCCACAGGTTGTCCTAGACCTCTCGTGCCCGTCTCCTTCAGACGCACAGTCTTTGACGCACTTCACTCACTGTCACATCCTGGTATCCGTGCATCTTTGAAACTGGTCACCGAACGTTTCGTTTGGCCACGCGTAAACAAAGATGTTCGTACCTGGGCTCGCGCCTGCCTTCAATGCCAGCGCTCTAAAGTACATCGTCACACCCGCAGTCCTCTTGGTTCATTTCCTGCCCCGGACTCTCGGTTCTCGCATGTACACTTAGACCTGGTAGGTCCCTTGCCTCCGTCACGCGGATTTGTATACATTCTTACATGTGTCGACCGCTTCACCAGATGGCCAGAAGCTATCCCCGTAACAGACTGCACAGCTGAGACTGTTATCCGGGCCTTCTTGGACCGATGGGTCTCGCACTACGGATGCCCATCCACCATCACAACTGACCGCGGAACGCCTTTCGAATCTTCACAATTCGATACGTTCTGCAACTTCTTAGGCTGTCGCCGCATTCATACCACAGCCTATCACCCAGCAGCCAACGGGTTAGTTGAACGTTTCCATAGACAGCTTAAAGCCTCGCTCTGCGCCTCCTCCGACCCTAGCTGGAGCGAAAATATTTCGCTCGTTCTCTTAGGCATTCGCAGCAGCATCAAAGCTGATTTGCAATGTGCACCAGCAGAGCTGGTTTACGGAACGACGCTCAAGTTACCAGGAGAATTCGTTTCACCTCCCGCATCGTCGGGTATGCCTCCGCATAACTTTGCGTCCTCCCTAGCTCAGCGCATGCGTTCACTACGCCCGACCCCGCCCCGTGAACAGACTAGAGATGTGCAAATGCACAGCGGACTCTCTACCTGCACTCACGTCTTCCTCCGCACCGACGCAGTGCGGCGCCCTCTCCAGCCTCCCTACACTGGCCCTTTCAGAGTTCTGCAACGGACTCCGAAACATTTTACTATAGACCAGAATGGTCACCGAACAACGGTGTCCATCGATCGCCTCAAAGTGGCTTTCTTTGACGAGCCACTTGCAGCTCATCCTGATGCTCTCCCACAAGCACCCGCACCTGTGGTGACTGCCCGAGCGCTGGACAACCCGGATCCCTCCGTACCCCTTGATCCGCAACCTATCCCGCCTCAACCCCAGGCAACCGACCGACGCGGTAGACAGGTCAAACGTCCGGTCCGTTTTTCTGATTTTGTAAGCGTTTGCTATTTCCATTAACACGCCTTTTTCGTCTTTAATGGTTATCCTGCGTCTCACCCACAAACGTTTTGCAAAATCGAAAAAAAAACCCAAAACATTTTGAAAAACCTAAAAAGCGTATTTGCTTTTATCATACATGCCATGTCCCCTCTCCGGCGTCAAGCCACTTCCCAGACCCTTGCCAACCCCCTCTGAGTTCTATCTTCCAGAAACTCAACCGCCGGAACTGCCCAGGCAACCCTCGAGTGACTCGCCAACCGGCTCAACGCAACCCTGGAGTGACTCGCCAGCCGTCCCACAGCCCCCATCCTCACCCCATTCCCCGCCCTCGATCGCAGACACCCGCGAAGGATTGGTCCCTAAACGCCGCCTAGGCATTGCCGACGAGGACGCCGGATTTCTTCGTGGGACGAGGACGCCCGCATTCCTTCGTGGGACGAGCACGCCTGGATTTCTTCGTGGGACGAGGACCGTGGACTAAAGTGCGGTGGGGGGAGTGACACCTCCCAAGCGCACCGTCGGGTCTGCAGCAATGGGAAGGTCCTGTCGGCCTTTTTTCTGGACTAGCCAGTTTTTTTTGCAGTCCGACCAGCCCGCCCCGACGGCCCACCGATGATGCACTCTGGTCCACACGATCGTCATAAATAAAACTAACAAAAGCCTGGACCCAGCGAAATCTGCTACACCCCACTTTGGAAGCTATTCTCAAGCCCCTGCAAACATTCGCATCCACCCTCACCTTCCGTTCCCCCCACTAACAGCTCCATCGAAGGCTTCCATCCTTCAGCCTTCTAGGGGGAGGCCCTTGTAGTGCAACTGAAAACATGCTCTTTCAGTATCTTATAACATTGGATTTTATGGTTGTTTTAACCTTCGAAACGTCCATTTGTTTAACTGACTGCACATCCATGGTCACAAACCGTTTTGGTGAGTTCCACGCTGCACGTTCCTCGCTCTCTCTGATTCGCTTCCTATTTTTGTAGCCTGTACAATATACGTTGGGTTCAGTTGCCTCCGACTTCTATACTGTCGTATTTGACACGTCTTACGTGTCATTGCTTACCGACTAGTATCCCAGGTTCCGCCCAACAAGAGAATGAAAGAATGTGTAGTCCGTTTAAGAGCGAACAAGTGTGTGTTCCGAATAGCGTTCAGTATGTTATTTTTATCACTGAGCAAAATGAGAGAGGACCAGATCCGGCAAATAGTAAAGCGATCAAAGGCATGTCTCCATCTAAGGACGTGGCGAACTTGAGAACTTTTTTTGGCACAGTCAAGACAAGTCAAGGTAAGATGCGTATATGCGTTTTCAGCACTTTACAGTATCAAGGGCGAATGAAGCAAAATGACTTCATTACACTTGCAAAATTTTGTAAGTGAATGGACAATAGGGAACAATGCACTGATGGCACTAGAGTTAATAGATCCTGCATTCTTGGGTAGCAAGCGCAAATTTACTATCAGAATACTCAGGCTATTTTCATTGGAGAGAGTAGAGTTTTACGAACACATTTCTTCAGAATTGCTTTTAACTGGACTAAACGTTCGTTGTCAAAGGCAACGAATAGTGCGCGGTATCTCGACGTAGTATTCAAAATGTAGAGGGACCAGGACTCTCACATCTGGCGGGAATGGG